CACTACTCTGCCTGACGGTAGTCCGTGCCTTTTTTCCTCCAATATTTTCGCTCAAGAATTTTTCGGAATCTTTAGCATCCAGTAAAATATCCGTAATGGAATTTGTCCTTGTCGAGAAAATCCGTTTCTTTGACAGAATTGTTTCTTTGATAGAATTTTAAGGTTCTTCATCTCCGCATTTGGCACTGATGGGATCTTTTTTGTGTCGATTTCAGGCGATATCATTGACATGAGACTGGCCAGGATACGAGAGAAGGAGTATGCGGAAGATGACAATATTGGCTCATTCATGTATTTCTTCAAATTCAAGAACAAGCAGTACTGCGTGGATGCGACCGATGAGACGTCAGACAAAGGGCGACTGATAAATCATTCCGTGCTAAGGCCCAATCTCAAAACTAAGGTAACGTTATTTGGGGCTGTCGAACTCTCGGGCATGAATAGTGATTCAAAGTGCAGGGTAGAGCATCCACAAACTAATTACATCGACTGATAAAATGCCGAAGTACTGGGATTTAGTTCCACCATTCACTGCTGTAAATTCCTCGAAATTTTTACTAGTATTGTTCGGTTTGGAACAAAGAACAGACTGTGAAATGCAGCCGATTCAACCAGTACTTTAACTATCCTACGCATTTTACCTAAGAAAAGTCGTGATTTTTAAGTGGAAGTAGCATGCCACCGTATGAAATGATGTTTACTGTCTCTTTTTGTTTAGGCCTAGGCATACCAGTGTGTTCGCATTGTCGGGATAAAAAAAAGACAGATATTTTATGTTTCTAAATGTGATGCCGATAAATTTACGTTTTTGGTTTTTCTGCATTTCGCTGTCAAATTTTTTGCCCATTTATTTTCCTCATCATTTCTTTACAGAACCTTCCGTACTCTTTTTTCCTAGTTAACGAAATTTTTTTTTTTTTTATCGAAATATTTCGTATGTTTTTGTAAATGTTTTGCAAAACTGATCTCAAAAACTGATCGGCACTCATGTTGCTGCATATTCGCAATCGCTAGACAAAGTTACTGGCAGTATTCCCACCTTCTACCCTAATTATGCACTTGTGTTACTCATACTGCGCAAATTTTGTCATGAGACATCTATAGATTTGGTACTTTTTGACTCACATTTTTATGCGTTTTTTGCAAGTATGCAATGCAGAAAACGCATATTGATGAGAGGTTGTCTGTGTGTGTCTGTGTGTCCGTGTGTTCGTCTTTACCGATTTTTCATCTCGAGACCGGCAAAAGCTACGGGACTGAAACTTTGGGGGCATAATCTACATGCACGTACGGGCCCCCATCTCCAAAATTGGCGCCAGAACCCGCGTAGTACCCGCGCACGGGCCCGCCAAAGTTTTTTTGGGGTCAGTTCATAACTCGAGGATCTGAGAAACTAGAAGGCTGA